TGTGTGTGTGTGTGTGTGTGTGTGTGTATAGAAGTGACAGAAACACGAATGGCATGAATCACTCTTTATGTCTTTTTTTGTCTGTAAAATCAAAACAATCACCTTGATTAGTCAAACAGTTTCCACTGTCATCCAATCATATGTGAGAATTGGGCATCTGCCCCGCCCTGTAGCCCCGCCCCCTGCCTGTGAGTCTTTGTTTTCTGGTTATGAATCAGAGCAGGCGCTGACTTCGCGCCTGAATGAATCGTGTCCGTTCGCTCGATGGCGATTGGGTGAAACGCTCTACCTTAAACAAATGTGACTCCGCCTCCTCCTTCTAGCAGACAGAATTCTGCAAACTGATTGATAAATATTGGGAGACGGTGTAGCACACGTCAGCAGGTTCAGGGGGTTGTTTTACTCTCTGGACCTGTTTGTGATGCTTTCGTCAGGCGACCTGACTTTGGTGAGTTCAGGTGAGCCTCCGTGCTGGAGGCTGCTCTGCACTGATCTTTGTGTTTGGGAATGAAGACACACCCTGATTGTAGGAACCTTGTTCATAGGTAAAGGGAAGGTGGAACAGTGTGCGATGGAGTCAGTGATGCATTGTAGCTGTTGTTGCCCTCACCTGTGATATAAGCAGCATGAAGATAACATAACCTTTATTAGTCCCACACGTGGGAAGTTTGTTTTGTCACAGCAGGAAGTGGACAGTGCAAAAGTTATGAAGCAAAAATTAGAATATAATAAGAATAAATACAGTACACACCTGTACAGGATGAATGAAGCGTGTGTAGCTCAGCGATGAGCTGATGACCAGCACAGGCTGGACCGAGTATGGATGCATGTTTGAGTTCAAATAAAACAGAGTACAAATTTGTAGCACAGCTTCATCTTCATCATAGAGAAGATGATGTCGCCCTCCCTGAGACGCTGATTAAATTCCAGCTGTAACAAAAGCTAACAATATCAAACATCGTTATAAAAACAGGCTGTGAGGCTTGAAAAGATCCTGAGACGCTTTCACAGACACGAGAAGAGACGTGAGGATCAAAAGCATGAAGAGAGGAAGAAAAGGTGGCGTGCAGTACCGCTAACACGTGTCGGCCGGAGCGTGCTTATCGTGAAGATCGCGCAC